GCGTGCCTTTGATGAAAAGTCTTATGTCCTCTTAGTAGCCTATTCTCTGAGTCACAGCTTCATTTGGAGGTGTGTGTGGGCATGTATATGTGTATGTGTGACAGCACATGTGTCTTTATTTGTGTGGTTGAGAAAAGGGGAAGAGAGATTTTTAAGGTTTCTTCTCTCTGGGGAGACATGCGTGCAGTGGCCGGAGCCAATTGGACATGCCTGAAAGATTTCTTTTGGAGAGGAAAATGGGTGGAGAGAAGAAAAAAAAAAAGTAAAGAGGGAGAAGCAGTTGAAAAAAAAAGAGATATATCTAAAGAGTCTGTGAGAGACAAAGCCCAGTAAGCGAGTGAAGAGAAAGACACCCCTTAATCCTGTTCATTATGTATTCTTATGGCAAAAAGGAGCAGGGATGACCATTGTGGACGATACATTTTTGGAATGGGCCTGGCATTGTTTCATGAAATAAATGCCAAAGCTGTTCTCCCTTTGCAAAACTCAGATATAGATAATGGAAGAAAAGATAGAGAATTGAAGATGCCTACATTTCAGAGCTCCTGGGAAGATTTTCATCCATCAGCAATCTCCCAAATATAAGTGAAACTACATAATAAAATACAATCTCAGTTTTTTAAATAATTTTAAAGTAACAATGATCGCCTGTAAATATATGTTGTGTATTTAAACACGTGCTCTGGGAAGGAAATGACACTGAACTGTGGATTTAAAGCAATAAAATGTCATAAATTCCAATAAATAATTTAGGAAATCCCTAAAATCTATTTAATTTCTCATGATTTGATGTGAAGAATCCCAATATAAACTTTTAACTAAATGTAAAAACACCCCGAAGGCATTATTCAAATTCAGCTGATTACAAGTTCCTTTCTTTATATTTTATTTCACTACCGTGACCTTAGTGAATGCATATCCACCACAACAAACCTGCTCACAGACAGTTTTATTTGATCATTTGTAGAGTATGAAGTCATTCCCCTGTTTTCCACATTTAGAGATTCAACCCTTAGATTTTACATATTACTTTTCTGACAGCAGTGCTAAATGTGTGTCATGTAAAACTGAATAGAATATATTTTAAATATGAAAAGAAAACAAATGCTTTTAAAAAGCTACCTGAAACTTTAATTTTATTCTCTTTCTTTTAAGCATTTTTTTTTCGTCTACGTGTCTTTTTTTATTATTCAACCCCAGTTTTACCTACCTACACTGACAAGCTTTTGTTTTTCCTTGTATGCTCACCTCTTTTTTAGCTTGATTTTCATTTCTACATCTTGATGACTCCCTTCACTTCCAGATGAACTCTCTCCCCTCACTGACTGAAACTTTTCTTTTCCCTGTCGTAGTCTGAAAACATCCCTTTTTAAGCAACTGATGTGGTCCAAGACATTGATTTTCCAGATCTGTCACAATACAGCACTAAATAGCTTTACAGAAATCAAGGATCGAATAAACGAGATCATAATGAACGTTGGATCTATCCTTGTGCAGTGTAAATTATTAACAAATAAATACTAAAATGACTGCCGTTTGTTGTGGCTATGACTGTCACTTCACAGCAAGAAGAATCCTCGTTTGAGTTCTCTGCAAGTCGGTAAGTTGGATTTTAATGGTAAGCCTCTTGTAGATAGTGTAGTTAGTTTCAGTGGTCGTGTTTGGGACATTTATCTGTAAGCATTAATAGACTAAATAAAATACAGATAACCGATGTAAATACGAATTTGACAGGTAGTAGTTATGCCTTTGAATGCATAAGAGTGGTCAAAGTGTCCTGGGCCAATACACAGAGGGATGTGGGCATTTTTGTACCCAAAAAAAAAAAAAAAAAACATTGTTTAGCCCGTAACAATATTTAGCCTGAGAAGGCTAAACTATGCACAAACGGGTGACTGTGATTTTTTTGTGAAACAGCACACTGGAAAAACACTACAGCATGAGGTATTCGCCATTTTCTCTTAACGTGCAACGACAGAGTTGGATCAATAATGGTCCTTTTCTTGGCATTGGCTTTGGTGAAATTGCAATCAGCGGATGATGATTAACTTTTTTTCCATTCTCCTCTTGTTAAAATTTTTATTCAAACACCCGACAAAAGCTAGTTGACATTTTTATTTTCAAATTCCATTTTATAAGGAATTATCGGGGCTTAGCTCTCTGTCCAGGTAATTTTTTAATTAATCAATGTATGTTGTTGTTTCCATTCAGCTTTTTCCGTCAGGGACACAGACTGCTGCGTTCCATTTAAAGCTGCATTCAGATCATCAATATATATATTGTTTGATTTTCAACATGCACAATTGAGGCAGATATACAATTTCTTAAAGAATATAAGGGGCATTTTCTTCCATGGCTTCTAGTTATTTGCCTGAGCTGAGGATAGATACCTAAACATTTTTAAAGAGCATTTTTATCTGTCTTAATACGCAAGAAACATCATTTTTCCTTTATTTCAGTCCACAAAAATATATTTAAACAAAAGAATTATCCAGTTCTTGGGTAACTGCCTCAAAACCCTTTGGACTGGGACGGTTTTTGTGTCATCCCTTTGTTTTGAGGATTTCAACAACATTCTAAAAGTTAGCTGCGTTATGCAAAAATCCTATTAAACAATAACACTACGGTAAAGTCAGAGGCTTAATTCAGCGATTAATTAAGGGATACAAAATGATGACAGTAAGGAAGTCGCTGGGATGTTAAATCTACGTGAAAAAATATTGCAATTATTTGCATATAACTTAAAAGATTACGTATTTTAAAATAGTAAAATGCTTTCTCTTGAATACTTGATGTATATTTTTAATTATTATTGGTTTAGGAAATTTGCAAACCATTGTGCTCTGTTTTTATTTAATTTTTTACAGCACTACAGCGTTTTGTCTTCTCCTCAGCGTTAGTGTAAAGCCTCCTCATGGACTGTTAGGGAACCTGAACATAATTTGGGATTAGACAGCAGCCTCTTTTTTCCACATTTATCAGGAAGTGGAATGTAAATGTCTCTGCTCTCCCAGAAGTTTTCAAATTTCTTTCACTGTTTAACAAATAAATTCTTTGTGATTTGTCAACCCTGGCAGCTGATAAGAAGTTCCATTCTTAATTAAATGGGAGAGACCGGAACAATCTGAAAAATGTTTTATATTTAAAGCCTTGCAAGTTTTGATTAAGTTTAGGTGATGAGTCCTGATTTTCTAATGGAGCAGTAAATGACATCCTGATTGGAGGAACTGCAACCTCATTGAAGAGAGAAAAAAGAAAATCATTACTGTAAGGTTCTGCAAACTGTTTACAATTTGCAAACATTAAAGACCGAAGGGATTAATTAACTATTGTCTACTGACAGGGGAACCAGCATATACTCAAATACTATTTAATAATAAGGTCAGGGGTCTTAAGAAAGTGACGATAGTTATCCGGTATGTTCAAGTAAATTTCGGGAAAGTGTACTTTGAGCACAGTTCAAGGGAACTAGCTTTTTCAAAATCACTCTATGTAGTTTGAGGAATTATTGAAATACACACATGCACAATTGCCTTTGTGCATGAAACTAAGGTGGAAAAAGCTACATTTGAGATGCTACAAGCTACTTGAGATGGTATGCAGAATGATTTTTTTTCTTTTAAATTTGGGGAATATGGATTTCTTTTCTTCTTACCAAAAATACCTCAAATCCCAAAGAGTTGAGACAGAGGCAATACCATGAATGTTGAACAGCAGCAAGACATAAACAGGAGACCAAATAAGCTTCAATCAAGCCAGCTCTACTACTGCCTTTTGGATTTTATAGAGACATGGCAACAGCTGCATGAAACAGTTTTTGCTGCTTAACTACCCAGTTTAGAGATGATAGAGGTAGACATGCATTAGAAGCAGATTTAAACAAATAAACAAGGTAATATAATACGTTTATACAAATAATACTTTGTAATATAATATACACCCTGACCTTATTTTAAAACACTTAGTGTGTCTCTCCTTGAGAGACACACTAACTTACCTTTAATTTATATTTTTTCTTTTTCTTTATACTTAACCTAATTCCCTAGTTCTTCTCCAGTTATCAATGGGACAAAATATTCCAAGACCACCATTCAAAGTGGGTGAATTTGTTGAAAGATGATCTGAAAAACAGCATTCAGTTTGATCGAATATACTTTAGTTACCTCCTTAAAATTCCTACAATAAACACCCCAAAAACATCTAAAACAGGCATACAGCTCCAATTACAATCAGGATTATTTGGAAAATATGCACAACTGATGGCAGTTTGCAGGTTGAAATTCCTAAATTACTTGCAAAGATAATCTAATAAATTTGTGTAAGTTGTAAATAGTGACTAACATCGGGCCACATGTTACCCACCAGTCACTGTATCAAATGCAATATTATCAATATCATTATACTATCAATACGCAGTATTGTACTTTGTCAAATTACATAAACTATTGGCAAAACTTAGATTAATATAAATAAACTCACATGCTATAGAAGACTGTATAGGGCCATAGAAAACTGACAGAGAAAGTGACCATTAAGAGGTTTCTAAACTGTGGTCCCTTTATAAGATAAAAAGAGATTTAAAAAAAATTGGTTTAACCACATTCACATAGTTTTTAATGACTAAACTTTCAACTAAAAGTTGAAAGTGATGCAAGTGATCAACATTCAGCTGGAATACTTAGACACAGCAGTTTTATTCTCCCTGTTAAATTGACCCTCTTTCAAATATGAGATCCGGGGGGGGGACTACCACTGTCAGCTCTGAGTGATCAGTGTTTTGGTTTGCATCTTGGTCAGGGCCTTTCTGTGCACAGCATGTTTTACACCTTCCTGTCCCCGGGCCCCCACCCCCACAAACACACATGCACAAAATGAGGAACGGGGCATTAGGAAGGAATTAATTCATTTGAGCCACAAAGAGCAAAGTATAAGTTTCAAAGATGCTCGGCATTTTTGTAAAAAGGGATAGGCAGGTGATTAAATATTCTGCGCATCTAAAGTGCATCGAGAGGCGTCTCTGAAAAAGAAATCTGAGGAAGAGAGAGAGAAAATATGCACTAATAAGCATGCAGAAGGGGGTGGGGATGAGTACTGGTATAAGCCAGAGAGTGAAAAGAGGGTGAGTGAATGAAAGTGTGCGGGTCCATTGCTAATGGATGTTTCTGCTTTGCGTGTGGTTGAATGTGTGCTCGACTCTTATTGTTTTTTTTTCTCTCCCTTTTAGAAGCACAGTAATCCTGTTATACAGCAACTGGTGTGTGTCTGGGATTGTCGGCACTGGTGCTATAACAAGGTGGCTAAACTTGTTTTTCAACTTCTTCTGTTCAGGTCTGTCAATTTTCTCCTGTTTCCAGCTGCAAAAATATGTGGGATCAATATGATTAATAAGAACTTTATCATTTGGTGCCTCTCCTGTCATTTTAGCATTCTCCCTGGACTGTATGCTGTTTCATCAAGACATGTTCAAAGCAAAGCTGAAACCACAGCTAAGATGTTCAAACCTGATCGTCTTATCTGTGATGTAATCAAGGTATTTCAAGACAAAAACTGGGACCAGGAGTTATGTCTGGGACCCGGAGTTATGTCTTAATGCAAATGATTTAGCTAATAGTCAAGATGAGCGACTATTGGAAAGCAGGCCCTCACGCTAGCCTCCGGGAGAAATAGGACACTTCAGTTCAAGGCCATCAATACTCCTCTCAGCCGTGAAAAAAAAACAAAAAAAAAACACACGCTTAGGCTAGAAGTAAAATATTCATCACATTCTCCAGAGGAAGAGCCTTGACAAATTGTTCAGAGGCGTTCTATGTTGATTTTCTGTCGCAAGGACTTGTGTTTTTTTTTCTATTGTTTCTCCGATTACTGTCAAAATTACAGCACGTTTTGTTTTCTTTCAAGCTCCTAAACCTCAGAGGCTACCAGCAGTTTGTTTCTCTCCTTTTTTTCCCTCACTAAACCTATCCTGCATTATTGAATGTCTTACATTGTAAAAATCTGTTTGCACGGGCCAATGCTTTTAACAAATAATGAGCAACTTTTGCAATCTAAAATGAGACAAAATAAGACAATAAAGGATCTCCTTCTTCCCTCACGTTCCTCCTTTTCAGTTTCCTTGTCACCCATAACTCCGCTCTCATTAATAACTGTCCGATTGAGGCGCTCAGTGCATTGTTACAAGGGGTATTCAATAACACCCAAGGGTCAACAGCACTTGAAAAATATCGTGCACTGGTAATAATTACAGTTCCGGTAAAGTCAAAGGGTTTATAGGTCCAGCAAATTTTACAGCCAGCAGGGCTAACAGTTTTTAAATGGACCTTTTCAATGCATTCGTTTATCTTTTCGCTCACCCTCTCCACTCAACCTCTTTTCCTGCTCTCTTTTTTTTTTCCTTATTTCACCTCACCCTTCTGCTGCGCCTTTTTCTGCTGATTAAGTAGGGGTTGCTGGTAATGAGCCATGAGGACTAATTGGGATTGTCAGAAAGGGAGAGCCAGCAGGAGACATTTTGCTCAAGCATTTACGAGAGCGGTGAACAAAAAATGACGAGAAGAAAGTGCAGAAATCTGTAAATATTATGTTTACTACTTCTCGGTAGAAGGGAGTTAATTTTAGCTTTCACTCCTGATTATCATTGATATCTTCATTGAACAAACCCTTAATTGATCGTGACATGATTAAACTACTTTAAAAAAAGTGTCACTTGCCAAATTGGTGAAACAATAAATACAAAAATTAAATAAAGAAAAATTATTTTAATATTTAGTTGTATAACTGTTTAATAACTGTAGAGCTATTACAAATGAGCATACACAAACAAAAAAAGTAGGCATGACATGTATCTAGATTATTCACAATGTATGTGTCTATTTATTATAATGGCAAAAATAACAAGAAATTCCTTTTAATTACACAACAGCATTAGAAAACAAGCTTGGTGGTATGAATCACTGGTTCTATATAATAAACAACAAGCCTAACAATGTTCCTTTTTGTCCGTTACTGTCTGCTTTCCTTCCCCTGTTTTACTCACTAACGAGTTGGCACTGCTCCAGAGGTGTTCATTAAATTAGGTGCAAGGCTTATTTAATTATTTTTTATCAAAAATCGAGCACACATATACCGCTTGCTCAAACGGCTTCTTTTTTTATTTTAAATGTATTGTTTCTTTACCTGGCTTTTAATAAGGGAATTATTGTGCACTGATGTTGCTCCTAAATGTCACTTCAAATTAAATTCAAACAAAAAATGTGGAATTTTTGTACGGTGAAACTGAAATTTGAAAAAAGTAAAATGTTAAATGTGCCGAGTGATATTTTCATCACTCATTGGTTGATGCCCTGCGTCTCTCTATAACAAATCAAAACTGAAAGGTAGGATCAAACACAACCATTATGGAAGTAGTATTGAGAAGGTCTGCACTGCCACCATGTCTATTCTCATTTTTTCATATTTAATTTTGCATTTGTAATGAGCATGTGGTATATATTTCTGTTGACATTTATTCAAAATAGAATCCGATATTTGTAAAACTGCATTGCTATTATCATCATGATCATAATATGTGAAGAGAAAGAACACAAAGAAAAAACAAGGTATGAGAAATTATTCTCAAGTTTTCAATTGTTGCCTTTTACACTTTATGAATAAGGATATTCAAAGAGGTGGAGATTGGTTGATATATAAAAAAAGAAATAACATTTATTAGAATTTACATAGAAGTTAAAGATGTAAGTTCAATTCCCTCTTAAAGGCAGCTAACCCACGAACCAGACTTAGTTGTGAGTTCTCTGGAACCTAAACAGATTGACTGGGTGTGCGAGTCCGTGTCTGTGCGTGAGAGGATCTCTTTGTCATCCACATTACCTTTTATATTGCATTGCTTCATTACAGACGGTGCATTAACAACAAAATCCTCTCAGTGCGCACATTAAAAACATCTCATTCCTACTTCAATGCACAGTCAAAGCCATAAAACAATACGTTAGCTGCCTGACTAATTACCAATGTGAAAACTTTCATAATTGAATAGCGCCCCTTAACCAATCCTGCTTGGCCGAGACATATTAAGAGAGGCTGTTCTCAATTTGAATTTGTCATAGCAAACAAATGAGTTAGTTTATGGGAGGCGATTTGCCTGAAGTTAGGTAATAAGGTGGGTATCGCAACCACTTTCCTGTTTGGGGTGTTGGGAGAATGGAGCTCATTACAGGTGATCCAGCTCTGCGGAGAGTGTCGCACAACCACAACCACAACACAACCGTCTCAACACGAAAAGACACTTACTGCAGCATATACAGTACATGCATATCAAAGTTTATTAAGTAACGTTGAAATTATTAAACTTTTTATCTGTAAGTTAAGAGGAAAGGGTGCAACAATTATGTAGAACAGTCTTACATGTTTATGTTATGGCTAATAATGGTTTAATAATACTAAATGCTAATGATGCTGAGAGGATTACACAGTGAGGGCTGCTGTGTTTTTGTTCATGACCAGTGGAGTTTCAGCTTTTGTGTCTAACTTGTGTCATTTGGTAATCTTTATCCCTCAAAAGTGAGCTGGATGCCTCGGCTGAAACAGTGCCAGAGAAGTCGTGCAAACACAAATACGGCCAACGAGACGGTGACATTCACTTGATATTTTGCTGTGGCTTCTACATGAACTGCAATTTAGTGGGAGTAAAAACAGAAGTCACCACTGATCCGAATCAATGTTACATTTGTCACTTTTGGGACAGTGTGTTTTTACGGGAAGCGTTTTATTGATTCTGAACCAACACTTGATGAATATCAAATGTCACTTCTAGTTTCGGCTGCTAACCTTGTGCATATTTTAGCGGCACACTGGAGGCCCTGGAACCCAAAACATTACGTTGATGAGAGCTGGAAAGGTAGTATTCATTTCATAGCTAAAAGCTAAAGGCTAAAAGAAGAAATACTTCACCGTTATTACGACGTCAGAGTTCAAACTAGATGCCATTACACTCATTTTGACCCATCTTGGTTTTTACACTGCTGCAGAAAAGAATTTGCAAAGTGAATATGTCTTTGCTTTTCCATTGGAAATCCAGATCTGGTAATTCAACAGCTTGAAGATAAGTGACAGACTGTAAACAGTCAACATATTTTCGTTCCTGATCCTGTTGAGTGAAAGTTAAAGAGGATTAATTTAAAAGAAAATGGGCCCATTAGTCTTTCAGGTAGGTGTCTCAAAGGGGCAAAACAGATAGGAAAGAAAAAAACAACAACATATTAACAGATGAAATAGGAAATGAAAGGAAGTGTTAAATAAATCTAACAAAGACAAAGACATTACGGTATCAGGGAGAGTGAAGGACACAAAGGAGTAAAAAGGGAACATGAGAAACAGAAAAAGAGAGGAACGTGATAAGAGGCGAGAAGGTCAAACATTAAAGCAAAATAAATACAAAATGGGAAATGAACAGTTCTACAGAACTGGAAATGTGTAGGGATACATATATTTAAAGTAGATTGTGATGAGATGAGCTTGCAAGACATGAGAGGTAGCTATTATCATTATCCAGCATGAGCGAGAAGAAAGAGCTCCATCGACTTTGGCCGAATAAGTCTTCTGGTAATATGGTAATAATACGGTAGTGCGTGGACTGCTTGCTTTCTCTCTCTTTATATTCTTGCGACGCATGACAAATCTCAAAATAGCAGAATGAAAGAAGTGTAAAGGCAGAGAGGCATAAATATGGAGGAGCCTTAAAAATAAAGTTTCGACTTTGAAACATGACTCAAAGCTCCTCGGAGCCAGGAACACATTCTTCACACAGCACGGTAGGACTGAATTTTTCCTTAAACAAAGATAATGTATTTTCATTTGGTCACTTTTTTATTTTTATTTTATGCAAAAACAAAAAAAACAACAATCGCACACACAAGCACACAGTGATCTAAAAAACACACAGGTAATCAGGTGGGTGGAAGATCAAATGTCGATGTGGAAATATGAACTTCACTTTTTGAGGGACACACTCTTTCATGTTGTTGTTACTGTTAATTTTCTTTTTTCTTTTTTTTCTGTTGGTGGCAAACCAACCCAGGACCTAATTTAACAAATGTGTCCTCTGATCTAAAGTAAATGCCAGGATCGAGATTAAAATGACCTCAGAGCTTCATACAATAAGCAACACTGTTTCACGGACGTCAACAACAAATATTTGCCCAAATGTCTAGGCTGTGGCTTGAAACTCCACATAAGCCTTAACGCCATTACTTATTCAGC